GTATTCGTCTCCGAAAACTGACATCGGATGCAGCGTCGCTGACAGTTGGCACACGGGCCATTGCCGGAGCATTTGATCTTACTCTGCCGGCATGCAATACATCTGATAGACTCGTATCAGCGTGGGTTATCAATACCGGTTGATTAAGGGCGGGTTCTCACGCGTTGGCAGTCCTTCTTAATATATTCCGGGTATTCTGCATCATGGTGGTAGGCAGAGGAGAAAGGAGTGGTTCCAGAATCGACAGGCTATGTCTATGGTATCGCCAGGCTTTCAGGTGGTGCGGGGTCGATGGTCCCCGGAACTTTTTACCCTATCGGGGAACACATCCTTCTCACGATATCCTTGAACCCAACTTGGTAACCCAATTAGCTCCATTGCCTACTTGATGATCATAAGTTATCTTGTGGGCGACTTCTAAGGTAACAGCACAGCTGCGCTTTTTAAAGGTTCCATGCTGCTCCCAAGGGTGTCTAGAAGAGATACCGGAACGTTTATCCCGAAAGAAACCCAAGGAACTGCAATATGAAATGAGTACTTGTTCAGTTTCCAGCTCTAGCCCTGATCTTATTCTTCTGATGTCCAAAATATAGATGCTAAATGAGCATAAAAATGATCTTCTAAACTAGTAGCATTCGCATAAAAACCGGCGCATTTACACTATTTTCACCCATAACATATTCAGCTACCCTTCTGTCAAAGTTCCTGCAAATTTGAGAAGATTCGAATCAACCACCGCCACTCCTCTGCTTTCGCTATTTATACTGCAATGTCGCCTCCAAAATATCGCTGTCGTATCGGGGATCGAGCTTGTTGAGTAACTTGTTCGAATGAGGTTTCGATGTGGATGGTGCAGTGGTATTAGCCCCAGGACCAGCAAAGCGAGGCTTGCTGGCGGACTCTTCGTGATCGGACTTGTTCTGGTCAATGTGTTCCACGTTCTTCGCGTCGAGAAAGTTGCGTCCAACGGGGGTTGGTCGGTCATGGTGTGGTGGCCGATTGACATTCAACCGAATAGTGTGTATCGCAAGATTTGAGGACCAGAAAGGGTTTAATTGTGAAGGATTATGGTTTTTTGATGGAAATCCTATCCAATTTGGGTTGAGTGGACAGATTGTATGCACTGGTTGTGGCCGTGACATCATTGGGAATCATACGTCTGAATGACGCGGAAGTCACCAACAACAGGGCAGCATCCTGGGAAAGATGGCATTGTGTACGTCAGAATCCAAGGTAAGTGAACAGAAAATGGTATCTTAAAGATGAAGCCGTCACTGCTGTCTAAAGTGGAACTGAGGGGTCCTAGGCAGCCAGATGTGACGCTTGTACGGAGTACATCTTGACAGCTTTATCAATCCAGGAATAGGAATAATGCACCCAAGATGTGGACCATAGAAGGATCTATCATTAAAAGTGACAAAATAGTCAGTGAGAGGAGAAAGGTCTAGTCTCGAAAGGCGTAAGGGAATTCTCCACTTCCCCCTCGCATCGTAGCCTGCATATAATCATAGGATTCGTGCCATTCGCATTTGAAGAGCGTCTTCCCAGGCGGGGTCGATACTAAATCATGGAGGGCATGCACAACCTCAGAGACCCAGTTGATTTCGGTCCCCAGCTCCTGTGCCAGCATGTTGCACCGAACCATAATCTGCCAGCAGAGCGTCAAGTACTGCCGTAGTTCCCTGCGATTGCCTCGGTGGAGTGGATCGTGTGGGACAGGGAGTCGCCGCGTTCGCTGAAAATCGTAATCTGCCAGAGCGGTTATTTGCAGGACCAGTTCCTGCGGCAATCCTTTCATCCGCAGATATCCCTCGATCCGCTCAATATCTGCTGTATTGGGCTGGAAGCTGGCTACTTTGGTACAATTCAGGAACACCTCAAAACGAACCTTGCCGAACGGAAAGTTGTCGTTGTCGAGTCGAACGGGTGGGGAGCAGAATTCTCCCGGGCCACAGCGCCACGCTTCTCTCTCGGCCAGCAATGCGAGGAAGGCAGGCTCTTTCCGATATCGCTCGACCTTATCAGACTGGTGGAAGTGATCTTCGAGTCCAAAGAATTGGCGGTGGGGGTAGCGGGGGACATCGTTGTTCGATCCTTCTTGGGTCCAGGTCCGGACAGCTTTCTGGTACATTAGCGTAGCACGATACTCCTCAGACTTCTTCTTGTTGCGTGCCTGGCGGGATGCCGGGTCCCATAGCTCAGGGAAGCAAAACAAGATGTTGAGAGCCAGGTAGATGTGCAGGGCTGCTTTAAAGACCTGGTCCCAACCGCGGTCTGGTTTCTACCAATCATTAGCATACGAGGTTTATGATCGAACGAGTTTCTTCGAGGACACACCATACAGTAACACTCGTTCATCTCCATCCACTGCGCCAAATCGTTTCCGGAGTTGCAGAGCCGCAGAACCGGCTCCATCTCGCCCAGGACCAAGAGCGCGTTGACCACCTGCAGATTGTAAAAGGCCTCGATATTGACGTTGAAGAACTCATAACAGTGATTTGATTGATAGCGGCGGAGGAATGCCGAGCCTTTCCGTTCCGAAAAGGGAAAAGGGCATCCGCATGCAAAAAACCCGTCGTTGTCGCGATGGGGACACAGTCCAGGCGTCTTTTGGACCCTCTCCGCAAGCGGCCAGTCCCATTTCTGGTAGGCTTTACACCATTTGTATGCCATCGGCCGGACCTTTTCCGCAGTCCGATCGTCGAGGAGCACCTCGTCCGGCTGAATTGGGTCGAAGTTGGCTGGATACTTCTGCCGCTCGCATTTGGTGTGTTCTGCGATGTTCCGAGCAAAAGACTCGGCAAAGTAGCCGATCTCTTTCCCCTGCGTGGGCTTGAACCGAAAGTACAAATTCGAGACCAGATCAGCATCCGGGTATGCTGGTGATCGATGGACGAGATTGTTGGCTAAGATGTTCCAGCAGATGTTGTGAGCTTGGTGAGCCATGTTTGAGGGCGGATATTTCTGGTACCGGAAATTGCATGGGCTGGGACCCTGAGGATCTTATTAAAAGTTAATCGGTGGGACTAAGATAGTTAGTTAAGAGGCTCGCCCCACTGAGTCATTATTTTGTGACTCAGTTAAATCGCATAAGCGGCAGTAGCCGCAGACCCTGTGTCTGACAAGTAGTCTGTCGCTGCGCTTACGCGCGGCCAAACTCATGATTATAGCGAATCCGCGGTTCCTACGCGACCGTAGGAGTTTCATCCCTTTTGTACTTATCAGTTAAAATTTTGTAGACCATCAGAGTTGTTACAACCATAGACATCTTTTAAATGTGCCACAGGTTCCTAATATCTGCCACTTGTGAATATATGAAGACATCAAGGTACCAAGGCCTTCAAAGTAAGCCCCGCCTTAGATTAGAAGATTAGATCAGATAGATTAGATACTATGTAGTTTGGCGGGTAACCTATTAATAGTCTATCACTTGATGGGGGATGGCAGCTCTAGGAGTCTGGCTACTAGAGCGACTCATGGAATACCAAAGACCAGACCTCTTATATACATTATTATTATAGAAGGGTGGGAGACCCAGGGAGTCTTGCAGTCCACAAATCGGGTATGTACTGCAGTTTTTGAGGAATTGGTATCACTCAAGTATGACGTTGAGATAGTCCGAGTTCTTTTCTTGATTCGGTAGAAATATAATCGGGGCATGGTTTTTGGTCTTTCCCCCTCTTCTTGGCGCTTTCCTTGGCTGTTTTTATGATAGATTCGCCCCTTCATATTTTTTATTTGGCTTCTTATATTCAGAATTCCGGTCCTGTAGATAAATGGTATATTGTTAGATCGCCATAGATTTTTTTTGATACATCTTATTAGTAGTAGTAGTAGTAGTATGAGTAGTAGTAATGCTTTATTCCCGAATATAGCCACTTGGCTCCTCCCGGGTCGTTGACGGCTGTATGCAGCTCTCACCAACATTTTTATCACTAACTAGATACAGGCGGTACATCCTCATGTGTAAAATACCCTAGAAAATCACAATTTTATCTTTACGCCACAGCAGTTGTGTATAGGCAGATAAAGTCCATAGGAAAACCTCACGGGAAAAACCTATAGAGATTTTCTAACACATTCAGTATAGAGACAGCGAAGGGGAGAGTATGAATGAGAACCATGCTCTATAAACCCCCTAACTCCTTCCTGGCACAGGGCGTGTATCCGTTAACCCCTCCTCCGACGTGGTCCCCTAAAAGGGTTGGTGGCCGCGGGATTCGAACCCACTACACTTTGTGTATAGACATGGATGGGGGCCCTTACCATCAGATGTCTCTTCAGTGCCAGCCGAAGTGGTTACCACTACACTGATACATCTTATTATTTTTTATGGTTTGCTTTGTCCATGCGCACGCCGTGCGCCGCTGAGTTTGTTGCTCGGCGGCGCAGCGCGCACTAAGTAGGTAGGTTAGGCCAAGTGGGGAAGCCGCTGCCATTCTAGCCTTTTATTGGTGCATACTTAGGCTGTGGGCGCTCCGAGGCTCCGATAGGGTCAGAAAAACCTCCGCTCCACCCCCTTCAGGCTGGCGACGGGAAAACACCTCGACCAGTGTCAAAAGTCTCCTGATCCTAGCGGAGCTTAATTACATTTTGCATCTGATACTGAATGATGTTTACACGTGATTATGTCGCAGGTCGTCCGCAGGCCACCTAGGAGGAAGGCAGGAAGGCACCAAGGGATTCTGCAACAAATCGGGAGGCACAACTAACGTACGCTTTTGATTCGAAGATTAGATTAGATCGTTAGATAGATTGGGAATATAGAAAACCCTCAGTTTCCAACATGGGCTCTATCAATCACCGATGTCAACCATTATCCAACCCCACTAAGTTGGAACTAAGTTGAGGCTGTTTCTACTAGCTTGTCTTTCTCATTGTCTGAGATCTTTTCGCTGTTTGAGATGTGCTTCTCTCTGTTCCGTAACAATCGGTTTTTTCCCCATAGTGAGGCAGCATTACCTCAATAAGCGTTTATATGAGATATCTCTTTATTGCAAGGCTCAGTGGCCAAATGGATTAAGGCACCGGACTCCTAATCCGGAGATTGTGGGTTCGATCCCCATCTGAGTCGTCTTGTGAGACATTGAAGCCTCTTGTTGATCTTTTTTGCGGCGACCTTTTTTTGCCCACGCACACAACTCATGCCTCGTTGATAGGTATGTGACGGACATAGAAGAACATAAGAGTCTGGACGAGTTCTTGGATACTGATAAAAGCAACTTATCAGTATAAAATCTAGCAAAGGAGAAGATAAGTGCCGAGACATGCTCATAGTGTTTTGTGGGAGCAAAGGCCGCAAAAGATGGCAGAGGAAAACCAGTGATAGGACCAGACTCTTAGACTGTCCTAGCATGCAGTAAATAGTAGATCGACATACAAGGGCTATGTTATGTTATGTTATGTGTTATGTTATGTTATTCCTTACTCTGTTTCGGCGCCTTTCAGGCCACGCTAGAGGTGTCTAATCAACCTAGCCTGACTTTTCAGCCATTCTGAGCTAATTATCTTTTAGCTAGATGCAGGCGGTACGTTATTATATAGGTTTAACTATAGAAAATCACAATTTTGTCTTCATGTTATAAAACCCAGCATGGAGACCTTCGTGTATAGATTATAAAATCTACAAAGAAAAGCTTCCAAAACTCACAGAGATTTTCTATCATATTCAGTATAGAGACAGCAAAGAGGAGGATATGAATAAGAATTATATTCCATGAATTTTCTATCTCCTTCCTGGCACTGGATGTATATCTTAGTTATATATACCCTCTTCCAATCTGGTCCCTTTAATTAGGGTTAGTGGCCGCGGGATTCAAACCCATTGCGCTTTGTGTATAGACATGGATGAGGAAACCAACATCAGATGTCTCTTCAGCGCCGGCCAAGGTGATGACCACTGCACCACCCGGCCACCGACATACAAGGGCTAACCGTTGTCAGCTGGGACCTTGGTTCGATAGCGGGTAGCCTATTATCCATTAGTCAAGTTCTCCACGGGTCTAGATATGTTCGGGGGCACATAAGGGTATATAAATTAGCAAGACTGTCTGGAATGACACGGATCTCTCTGACTGTCGATTTCCTGGGGTGATCTATTGTCGAGCCCTCTACAGAGTAACTTGAAGCTATTCAAGAAAAACGAGGGCATGGCACCTGAAATGTGCTAGGCTAAGATAGGCAGCCCCGGGCCCATTGCCAACCCGGATTTCCTAGTTCCGAAAGATCCCGCGTTCGAACACGGCTCGGGCCTATCTCTCTTTTTCTTTTCTCTTTTCTTTTTTTTTTTTTACGCGGCCGTACAATAAAGTGGAATACATATAGAAGATAGTTGGAAAGGCTTTTGCAATGAAATTTTGCTACAGCGCCATTGTTCGGCTAGAAGGTATCTCGGTTAGGCACCTGATACTATCTCCCAATACTATTGATCCGTGGCTCGAGCTGTGTACTATACAACGAGAGCAACTGAAGGGGGACAACTGCATTTCTGCCAGGACATTCCATTGGTCTGACATTATGGAAAGAGAATCATCCCCGCAAGCTGAGTTCCGATCTTGGCGGCATTGTATCAGTTAGGCTTCATGGCATTGTTAAAAGTTCGGCACGGGGGGGTCAATGGTATTTATGAAGCAGGACAGATCTACAATAATTGGCGCTTGTTTGGACCTACTAAAACAGCTCTCTGGGGAACGTGGCTTTTCTATATTGGCATTTTTAGTTAGGGAAAAGGGACGTGATCACTACTGAAAGGATATTGTGGAATGCTGTATATTAGACTAGCTATACTAATTCAGTAAATGGCTGCTAGCAAGATATAGCGCGCAGCAGATTTCTAATAGTATAATAGAGCAATACTCTACGATTATATGGATAAAATTATTACTAAGAGCGGTGGGGGCTTCCTACACTAAGAGGTGGTCCCTAGTTATTGAAAGAAACCAAAGTAGGGTACACCGAAGATCAACAGAACAAGGGGACTATCATCACAGAACGTAAAAGACATAGCAAGTAAACAAACTAAATCATAAGGCCGGCGGCCGTGAGAATGCCAGTGGTCATTAAGCAAAGATAAAACCATAATAGTCATATCTCGGACTGTGCAATCTTGTACAGAGTATTATTCCAGGTGTATTTATTGCCCAAGCCTATGTGTCGTTGGAAGGTATAGGATCGGGCAGAAAAGACGGAGGTCAATTCTAAGAGAAAGCAAATCATTAGAGCCAAGTCTAGAAGAGAAAAAAGTAAGTAAAGTGATGCTTACCTTGATCCGCGTGTCAGACCTGCTGCCGACTGAGTATAAACAAGATGGACCTCGCGAAGGGAGGTCGACCAACGATCAGGAGAAGAAGACTATAGCCTGTGACCACCCCCAGCATGCGGAGGCCTCATGCGTGATCCTATTGTAGAGTCCGTGTTATTCCATGCCATTGCTGCATCTTTTGTGTATCGTAGGAGTTGTAGGCCGAATACTAAGGCAAGGCAGCACCCATGAGCACCAACTTCAGCAAGAGAGAATAGCTAGTCGGGCATATGTGCTATCACCAGTATGACTGTTTAATAGTTCTTCGGGGCGAATGACTTGGATTCGACGCGTCCGTTGATGAAACCAGAGTAAACCTACATCCAGTCCAGGAACTATCGTAACTTTGTCCTGTCCTCCTAGCTATGAACACTGCCTTGGAAATTCCAGTCTCCATAGACAATAAGAGCAGTTGACTGAAGGCTATCCAAATTCCCCATAATTTGGGCACGGACTCTTCGTCGGTTGTTCGGGACATCGTCGGATCGATCGGGACACTGTATCTGTATCGAATGATCGGGCCTGTATGGTATGGAGGGAGCAGGATTATGATTGATTGACGGAACAATGGAAAAACGCGAAGATATGTGGGCGACTAAATGACGGACCACATCAGTTCCCAGGCTTTGTCGGATCGGATAGTCGGGACAACCCGGCATACACATCCATGACAATCGTCTTATCACTCAAACATCGCGGCTTGCGCGTCCGCATAATCTAAGAGCAGTTGCAATATTTAAATTCATGCTCCCTTCGAGGATAGATTTCGCCATTTAGAGTCACAGCAGCACTCACTCTCCATTCATCCAGATCTTCCACCATGGTTGGCCGAGTTTTGCCCCCCGAACCCATCCAGGGCCCCCCCGAACCACCCAAGGTGACTGGCCCGGCAACGACCAAAGCAACTCGTCCCTCCAACAAGCTTCCCCAATGGTTGACTGATGAATCTCGAGTCCCTTTCAAGGAGACTTTTGATGCGAAGAAGCACCTGAATTTCCAACCCCCGGAGAGTGTCTACACCATGGAAGACATAGGCCTGGAAGGACATGGTATCTCACCAGTTGCAGCCTCCGAACCATTCCCTCTTTTCACTCCGGAGGCCGTCAAGCAGATCCGCGCTGAGATCTTCAGCGAGCCTGTGCTGAAGGATTGTCAGTATTCGTCGAGCTTTGCCAAAAACATGATTCGAGGGATGGGGAGAGAGTATGTAGGTCGGTGGTATGTGAATGATGACTGCTGACCTCTTTAGACGTGCCCCCTTTACTTGCGATGCCTGGAGCTCTCCAGAGCTTCTTGCCATGGTTTCCGAGGTTGCTGGTCTGGACCTAGTTCCGGTTTTTGATTATGAGATTGCCAACATCAACATCTCAATTAATGATGATCAGGTCCAGAGCAAGGGTGAGGGATCGGATGGAGAGATGTCTTCGTTCGCTTGGCATTTTGATAGCTTTCCCTTCGTCTGTGTCACAATGATGTCGGATTGTACGGATATGGTTGGTGGGGAGACTGCTATTCGGACACCATCCGGGGACATCAAGAAGGTTCGGGGACCAACTATGGTGAGTTAGCGCGTACTTGGATCAGTTATCCCCATGGAGAAAGTTCAAAGTGCATAGATACTAACATTCATAGGGAACTGCGATCATCATGCAAGGGCGATACATCGAGCATCAAGCATTAAAATCCATTGGTGGTCATGAACGGATCAGCAAGGTTACGGCTTTCCGGCCAATGTCGCATGCTATCAGGGATGAATCAATCTTGACCGGCTCTCGCGCGATTAGCAATTGGTCGGAGCTGTATACTGAGTATACCGAGTATCGGTTGGAGCTTTTGGAGGAGCGGATTCGGGTGATGTTGAAGAAGGAGAGAGTTAGGAACTCCGGGAAACGTCCATTCAGTGTTTCGGATATGCAGCTGTTTTTGAAAGAGCAGAAGCTGCTTATTGAATCCACAATGACTGAGCTGATTGAGGTTGAAGATATGAACTGAGTTGAGCGCACACGAATGCTCGGGGGAGACGATGGATGTAGTTATGTTATTGATGAATCTGATGAATTCGTTGTGATCAACTGAATACAGAAGATAGGGAAAGCAAGCCACAGAAATTGACTAGGCCAGAAGGGCATGGAAGAAATTTCTGCAGATATTAATAGTGAATGTGCCAACCGGATCTTTGAAGACCCTTGCGTTCTCAGACGCGTTATCAACACATAGCATCCCCTTAGTAGCCTATCTATAATTTTTCTCTGGGTTTGTGGACATCATGCCTAGAGTGAGGGATCCCATATGGCTAGCTACCCAGTCTGGTTCTCCTGTGAGTGCCATATATGCATATGGACAGTCACCGTAGATACACGGGCGTGAACAAGGTCTTGTGTGAGGTCTCAGGAATTGATCTCATTAATCATTCACTATGATATATTAGACTGTTCTGGTTATCTCATGTAGGTATATATCCGCGACATTTGTCTAAAGCCGGAGCACAATCTTCCCAATCTGCTTACCCTGCCAGACATACTCGACTGCGTCTTCAGCTTGCTCAAACGGGAAGACTCTGTCAATAAGATCATGGAGCAGCATCCCAGAAGCTGACAGAGCAGCACAAAAGTCTTCCATATCATGCTTTGAGCCCGCGTTGATGCCCCTATTCACGTTAGATTCTGGCTGCAATAATCATCACAGTGCTCACCTAAGGTTAATCCTCCGATCAATAAGAGTCGGTATCAGCTCTTTCAGGTCCGAAGGATCCTGTTTCGAAAGATATCCAACCT